AGCACAGAATGATGGCAAGTTCAAGGCCAGCCTGAGCAACTTAACAAGATACTGTCTCAAAAATGAAAAGTGTGGGGATATAGCTTAGCAGTAAAGTACCACTGGGTTCAATACTTAGTATAGGGCAGGGGCAGAAGTAAACTTTTGAGCCAGGAAAAGACACAGAAGAAACTTAAATGTATATTTCTTAGTGGAAAAGACAATGCGAAAAGGCTAAAATACTGTATGATTTTAACTATGGAAACACATTTGTCAAAAACCTGTTGATTGTACAGCACAATGAACCCTAATGTAAACTATAGACTTTAAGTGATAATAATGTAGCAATATTGATTCATTGATTATAACAAATGTACAACACTAATGCAAGATGTTAATAAAAGAAGCTGGGGATGCATATTAAAACTAAGGGTGTATTAGACTCTGTATTACCACTTAATGTTTCTGCTTTGAAAAATAAAGTTTATTAATTTTTTAAATATAACAATGTTTCATGTTTCATTATATTTTATGAGTATTTGTGAGTTTGTTTGTTTGTTTTTTTTTTTTTTTGTTTGTTTGTTTTTTGGTGGTGGTTGTTGTTTTGAGATGGGGTCTTTCTGTGTTGCTCAGGCTCAAACTCCTGAGCTCAAGTGATACTCTGGCCTCAACCTCTGAAGTATACATGACTAAAATTGGCTTGCATTTTCAATTAATGTGTTCCTATGCTGGTTCATGTATATCAAGTTTTTTTTTTTTAATGTTGTGTGAACACTGGCTATTTATATGTAGTCTTTCCATGTAATTTATTTCTCACTTTCAAACATTAAAATCCATGAAACATTTCCATTAAAGACTGAATCTAGCAGACAGATGCAGGGAAACTGGCCACAACTCTGTTATAGGCTATTTGAAAGCCTGATTGGAAGTTCCATTGTTGAGTCCTGTGGGAACCATAATTCCCAGGCCAACATCACCTGAGAGTGATCATGCTCCTGGGCCCTGGAGGCACATAGCCTGGACCCATCACAGCTCTGTCACTTAAGAAATGTGCAACCTTGACGAAGTCACCAGTGTTTCTGAGCCTGAGTCCCCATCTGCAAATGGAAGGAGTAATAATCATTTTCTCTTAAAGCCCTTGCAGTATTTCAGCTATCCTGAACAAGTTGAATACACCCGTGTAACTAGCACCTTGATCAGGAGACATTTCCTGGCTCCAGACATCTTTCTTGTCACTTCCTTTTCGTCACTACAACCCAGAGTAACTACCATTGTGATGTCTGATAGCATAGATTAGCTCTTTCTAATTTGTACCTAATGTCAATAAATCATGAACTCTGTGCTATCTAGGGTTATTTTCTTAACATCATGTTCTAAGATTCATCAGTTGCAGATAATTAGAAATTGTTCCCTTACCTTACTGCACAGTAGTCTGTTGTGTGAATATTCTATGTGTATTTATCCATTCAATCCTTGATTGGAATTTAGATTCATAGAGTTATTTTGAGGATTTGTATATACTGAACTTTTGCATACTTAACTCTCCCAGATAACCAGCACCTGGGTTGAGAAACAAGCCAACCTTGTGTTCCCATTCAGTCACTATACCCTAAATATATATATGGCCCCCTAGTATCCTCCAGCATGGAGCAAGATCTGCATGATCCCACAGTCAATCTTTATTCACCACTGACCTGATGCCCCACTGACCCAGGTCAGTGTGCGGTTTACTCAGTTCTTCCAGAGAGCAGATCCCATGCCCTCAGAGCCAAGGGTGGTTGTTTGCTCCTCTCCTGAGCTTCACTGTTTTTGCATATAGGACACTTTCTAGGGCATAGGTCAGCACCAGCTGACCTGCCACACTTGAGTGCGAACCCTCGTACCTTCCTAAGATCCCATACCCTGGAAGATACTGGGGGGCAACAAATATATATATATATTTTTTTTTGTTTGTTTGTTTGTTTGTTTGTTTGTTTTATGATGCTGAGGATCTAACCCAGGGCCCCTTGAATGCTAGGCAAATGCTCTACCACTGAGATACAACCCCCAGTTCTTTAAATTTTTTTAAAATAGTACCTGACTATCAGTTATTATTGTTGAGGTTAGAAGAGATTTTTGTTTGTTGTTATTTTTGTTCATTTGTTGTTGTTTTCTTTCTCTTCACCAGCAACTTGTGCCAGAAAATCATTTGCAACCAATAAAAGTGGACTCTCACTATCTGGAAGAGGGGGTATTAGCACCTTAAATCCCTTTACAAAGGTAGAGGTGGGAACTTGCTGAAGAGTCAATCACTTTAAATCACTGAAGTGGCTTTCTCTACATGGATATGGAGTCCCCCCAGGGCCCCAGGGAGTGGGGTGGGGGTGTATGTCTAAGGGAAGCCACCTGAAAAGAGCTCACCTTTACCTCTGTTGTCCAAGGAAGTGGGGCATAATTGTACCTTTTGTGACTTTGAGTGTCTTGTTTGTCTGTTTTTGGAACTATGGATTGAACCCAGGGGTGCTCTACAGCTAAGTTACATCCCCAGCCCTTTTTATTTTTTATTTTCAGACAAGGCCCCTCAAACTTGCCAGGCCTGTCCTCAAACTTGCAATCTGCCTGCTTCAGCCTCCTGAGGACCTGGGATTATAGGCATGTACCATCATGCCCCTCCAACTTTGAGATTTGGACTGGAAAACTGGGCCAAAGTTTAGATCAGTGTTTTTCAAACTGTGCACCTTGAATCATTAATGGCTCACAACCAAGTATTTTTTGCTTAAATAAAATATAGAGAAGAAATATAGCAATGTGAGTCATATATAGAAAGGGTAGGTTTTATAAAATTTTTGTTTCAAGTTCAAGTGAGTGTGTGTGTGTGTTGGGTTGAGTAAATGTGTTTCTCACTGTGTGTGGACAAAATTGTTGTAGGTGGATTTTAGGAAGGTAAGAGGGTCTGGGCTCAGGTGTGGCAGGTCTGCTGGGGCTGACCTATGCCCTAGAAAGTGTCCTATATGCTACAAACAGTGGAGCTCAGGAGAGGGGCAAACAACCACCCTTGGCTCTGAGGGCATGGGATCTGCTCTCTGGAAGAACTGACCTGGGTCAGTGGGGCATCAGGTCAGTGGTGAACAAAGATCGACTGCGGGATCATGCAGACTTTGCTCCATGCTGGAGGATACTGGGGGGGGGGGCGGGCGGGCAACCATTTGGTGCCTCAGGAGGGAACGGCCTTCACCATCCCTTGAGCACCTGGCTTCTAGGATTTCTCAGCAAGAGAGAGAATCCTCAGGGGAAGATACTGGGCTTCCTGCTTATCCAAAAGATGATAACTTGGGCAATTTCTTGGAAAAATCAAGGTGATACAGTGTATTTTCACTTTGAGTTTATGGAATTATACTCGCTCAACAATTGGTTTGTTCAGGGAGTATCCCAGATGCAGTTTTTCTCTCTCTTTCCTGTCTCATTTTCCTACCTACTGTCTATTTGCCTGTTTATCAAAATATAACAATGAACTTCAAGTTCTAGAATTAGAGGCAATTTTTACTTTACTATAAAACAAATATAAATATTTGTTGAATGAATAAATAAGTGTCTTCTGGGTGTTTTATATTCAATCTTGAGTTCTTTGAGGACAGAAACCAAGTCTTGTTTTGTTTAGTATTACATTCCCAGTGCCTACATTTAGCAAGAGCTCAAAAATATGTATTGTTCTAATGAAGGAAATGTTTTTTAAAATTCTCTACAGTAAACACGTTGCCTTTAAAATCGAAAAAAATAACAATCTTTTACTACACTGCATTAGATCACATAGTATACCATATTAACAGCATTTCTATTATAAGAATAACTAACCAAATACTTGTTATCCATAAATAAGGATTAGTATTTTATTTCCAAAATACAAACACATCACCTCAATCATCTCCTTGGTATTGAACTATTCCATTAAGAAGCCAAAAGGTGGCTGGAAGTATACTTCCATGGTAGAGTGCTTGCCTAGCATGAGCCAGGCCCTGAGTTTGATATCCAGCAGTGCCCAAAAGAAAAGAAACCAGAACTCTCAGAGAGAAAAGAAGTGTAAGAATTCTTTCTTATAGCCTTTCATAACTGTAATTTCTCCCATTTTTTTCCTCATCCCTGTTATCACTTTTCTCTATATTCCACCCCCAACAGAATATCTGAATTTGTAAAATGTAAAATATATGGATAATTTTTTCCAGCATGCACACAAAGAAAAAATCCCAACCCTCTTTGAGCAGCCTCTTCTTTAGCTACCTATATAAAGACTTCTTGCAGTTCTAACCTTTATCTTCAAAGCCCAGGGATTTAGAAAAGAGATTTTATACTTTATTGAGCTCTAAATTCAGATAAGTTTGGGCCATTTGCTTCATTTCAGAATTATTTAAAAGGAAGCTTCAAGCTGGGCACAGTGGCATGTGCCAATAATTCCAGATACTCAGGAGACCGAGGCAGGAGGATCATTAGTTTGGAGGTCAGTTTGGGCAACCTCATGACCCTGTTTCAGAATAAAATAAAAAGGGATGGGGAGATAGCTTAGTGGTTGGGTATTCCTGAGTTCAATTCCTAGTGCTGGGGTCAGGTGGAGGAAAGCTCCAGATATTTATACAAAAGATTTAGGGGGGAAAAACCTACAAAACAAATCTTTCATGTTTATGTCTAGAAAGGTCCTATGACATTTTGGAATCTCACAAATGTTAAGTCTTTCCATCTCCATTTCATCCATCTGGTTCAGAAAACTCTGGAAATTAATTACTCAATGTCATTTCTATTCTTGTTTCTTAGGAGGTGACCTCAAACATATCAGCATTAAAGGAATGCTGCCCCAAATGAAGCAATAGTCCTCTCCTGACTTCATCAAACAGAGCCACCCACTGATAACCTCTGGCCCAGTTCTCAAATGCCTTTCACCTTTCCCCTAGATGTTTTGATTACTCTTTTAATAATTCTGGAAATGTTTGACAATCTGTTGATAGGAATGATGAGGGTAGAGGTCAGGACAATTAGCAGGGAAGATCCTTTCCTTTGCAAAGTCCAGATTTTTCTCCCAACCACAGGTTGGGTAGAATGGGATCAGCAAATAAGAACTCTCAATAAGGAGAGAGGAAGGGACTTCCCAGGACACAAGGCAGAGGAAGCGGAGGTAAATTTGTTGATCCAGTTTGGCAATTATTTCTTTCCACTCCCTCCTCATATAATGTTGGAATAACTGTTGATTATCAGGGGAAGAATATATGATAATATACTAAGGGCAGAAGTTTTCTTTAATTATGTGTGTGTGTGTGCGCGCGTGTCTGTGCATGTGTGTTATATAAAGTCCCAGAGATAAGCTTGAAGAGCTGCTTTCTTATTTCCTCAATGGCAAAAGGACAAACGTAAAAGCTCCCAGTTGCCACCAGCTAGATCTTAAATCAAAGGGTCTCTCTTTTTTTGGGGGGGGAGGGTATGGTTACTGGAAATTGAACTCAGGGGCACTCGACCACTGAGCTACATCCCCAGCCCTATTTTGTATTTTATTTACAGACAGGGTCTCACTGAGTTGCTTAGCTCCTTGCTTTTGCTGAGACTGGCTTTGAACTCATGATCCTCCTGCCTCAGCCTCCCAAGCTACTGGGATTATAGGTGTTTGCCCCTGCACCCAGCAAAGGGTCTCTCTTTAAAGGTAGAATTTGGTCTACATGATAGATGCCCTTTGAATAGGGATATTTATCATATCAATATGCTTAAAATACATAGAATTTGAAATAATAGCTCACATATTAACTTTTGGATGTCTTTCTAGTGTTCAAATTGGACATGAAATTGGATATTAATGTCTAACCTCCTCTTCTGGGCAAGTAGTGCGCCTTGCAGGTGAACATGGGGGAGTGAAGCTGGATTGCAGGCATAGACTTTGGGGACTAAGAGGATCCAATGCCTAATTCTCCTTGTTGCAGCCTGAGTCACCTTGAGAAATATAGTTAGTGTCTAGTTGGAATGCTTTAGGCTACCAACAGCAGCCTAGTGTGAAGTAATGGAGTGTGGTAATTCTGCAGATTCTAAGATAGACCTGAGTTTGAATCTTAGCTCTATCACTTAACTAGCTGAGTGACCTAGCAAGATATTTAGGCTCCTATACCTGAATTTCCTTATATGCAAATGAAGAAAATAATAGACCTGTAAGATTGTTCTAAGCCATAAGTATGAAGGGCATGTGGGTGTGGCTCAGTGGCAGAGCACATGCTTAGCATGGTTCTGGGTTCAATTCTCAATGCCGAAATCATCATCATCATCATCGTCGTCATTATCATCATCTTTAAATACATGAATTAATTTAAAGTTCTAAAAGGGTTCCCAGAACTGAACTCAATATTTAACAAGTAACCAAATGCCCTAATCAAACAGACTAAAACATTAAAGAAACACATCCTCTCTCTTAATGGGAAGCCCAGAGGTAGAGAGGTCACTACAGTTGATGAAGTAAGCAGCACAGAACTGTCATCTTGTATCTGTTCTGTGGTCCTGAATGTGGCTTCATTTTCAGGCTAGTAATAAGATGTCTGCAGAAGCTCCAAACATCACATCTAGAAATAGGATATATTTCTCTCTGTGGTCTTTTAAGAGAAAAAAGTAACATTTCAGAGAAGTTCATCTTCAAATTTCTAAAATCCCAGTGGCCAGAATTAGTCTTTTGACAAAGGGAATAAGTGAGTTACTCTTAGACCAATTCATTTCATCTGCCTCTGAGGCTGGAGGTGGGTCAGCTTCCTCTGGATGTTTGGAAGTAAATAAATGTTTGAGTGATGTTTGGGTTCCATTAGGAACTCATCTAGAAGAAGGTGAGGCATGGTAGAGAATGGATACTGGATAATCAACCAATAGTTGTTCACTACAACTAGGGTGGACAAAGACCAAGAACCTGCTGCAGGATAAGATAAATTGACACAAGAAAGTACAAGAGGCAGAGCCTGGAGAGACCCACTAAGGTCATTCCACACCCTCCCCCGCCCCCACTCCCAACTCCTACAAAAAGACTGTTTAAAGAACCTGGCCAAACCCACTGAAGGGGAGGGAGCTGTGAAGTACATCGAATGTCAGCCAAGTCCCTCACAAATCCTGTTTGGATGGGAAGAGACAGAATTACACTAAGCTCATTTGGTGAAAAGCTTTACCCAATTAAGAACATTATTGGTAAGATGATGAGTTCTTAAATGACGTGAAGAGCTATGAGGGATCTGAGATTTTACTGTACTTCCAAGCTAACAAGCTGGGCTACTAGTTTCATGGATTCTAGCAGAAGACTTGAGACTCTTGCAGCAAAGGTAAAGGACTTTATTACTGACAGCAATATCAGATTGCCAAAGTATGAGCTTTTGTGATTTTCTAAGCCGCAATACCCTCAGGACCGTGCAAAAAGAGCTACATGACATCTGCATGTATAATGGATTCCATCACAGGGGAGGAATCCCAAGCTTAGAGAACCCCAGTATTTTATAATGGAATGTAAGCCTGCTTGTTCTTTGTTCCAGAAGTGAACACTATCTTTATTATATTAAATCACAAGCATTTCTATCTACGCTGCCTTGAATCCTGATGAAATTGCCAATGAGTATGACACTCCATTGGCCACTCTGATTAATCTGACCAATAGAGGCCATGACCAAATCTATCCAATTTCTCTCATGCAGCATTAATTTTAAGCTGTTATCAATAGGACTCCAACTAGTAGAATAAGGCCAACCTGCAATGTAGATCTCAATTGTACTTCTCAGGATCCCAGAGCCAGGTACCGAACAATAGATAATTTCATAAATCCCATAAGTCATCAGAGTGTATTTTAGAGAATCAGGTGGCTTTCTCCTTAAGTTTCTGTACTGACCTTTCCACTTTGTCTGAGATATTAATCCAGGCCCAGCAAGATATATCAGTGATAGCACAAGCTCTGTTTTGGCCCTTAAAATGTAAATCTAGAGCTATTATATCTGGTACAACACTGATCAGTGAGTTGAGGCCAACCTGGATGTCTTCCAAGGATGATGTAGTAGTATTGATCACTTCAACTAAAGTCAGGCACTAATTTTGTATCATTTTTTTAATTGGATAATTCCTGGCATGGAATAACTACATACAAGGAGCTCATAAATAAAAATGAGGCGGTTGTCTCTCTCTGAATATCTCCCAAATAATTAAGGGTAGTTTCCCTTTAGAGAGATATCTATAGTTCTGATATATATAGCACAACTTCCAGTGGTGCTTCCTTAAATATATGAAGATTTCTTATGACCACTGCTAAGTTGCAAGTCACTGAATTTTCAGAAGGCAGGAGGGTCAATACCTGGGTTCCATAAAAAGAAACATAGTCCCCAGGGAATATATCATGCTCATGAAAAGAAAATGTTGGTTACAATTATGGGAGATCCCTAAATAGAACCTACATGTTTTACTACTGTTAGCTGGCCAAAAGTAGGTTTCTGCCATTCACAACCAAAAAGTCATTCTAATATATCTTCTAATACCTGTTGCCTCTCCATCCAAGTCCCTCCTCCCATTCATTATCATTACTAATTCTGTTGCATCTATCAATCAATATTCCACCTCCAATTTCTGATAAACTAGGTTAGAAAATGACCAACGTCCCACAAGAGATTTATGAGGAATGGTATGACTCAATCATTTGCTAATACTCATTGTTAAGAGATAATTCTTCATGGATTGCTCATGTTTCTGTACATTTCACAAACACAATAACAGAGTACCCTGGTTATCAACTATCTTTCAAATATTTGTATAAGAAACAACCCTGGGACAGAGAGATGATATCTCCCTCTTGGAACAAAGGTGCCTGTCTACTTGCTATCTATCATAAAAGGTTTGGGTTTGGGCTGGGGATGTGGCTCAAGTGGTAATGCGCTCGCCTGACAGGCGGCACGGGGTGCTGGGTTCAATCCTCAGCACCACATAAAATAAAATAAAGATGCTGTGTCCACCGAAAACTAAAAAATAAATATTAAAAAAATTCTCTCTCTCTCTCTCTAAAAAAAAAAAAAAGGTTTGGGTTCCCTAAGTTCAAGGTTTTTCTCTTCTAACATAATCCACTGTGTATGCAGGTGCCCACTGCATACCCTGTGCATACACTGTGTTATTTAGGACTTGGGAAACTACCACAAATGTCAATCTGACTATTGTGATTGTGATGAAAAATAAATTCCTATATCTATGATCCAAGAATCTTGCGCCTTCTGCCAGTATCCAAGAAACTGTGGCAGGCCAACTTAGATTATAAGAATGGAAAAATCTCAGATATTTCAGTTATTGATAAAGAATCACAACTAAGATGGAATGTAGACAGACATATAAAAAAGAAAGAATGAGGGCTATATAGACCAATTAGGCTTGCTTTCTTCTTCCTCTTCCTATTCCTCCTTCTTTTTTGTGGTACTGGAGATAGAACCTGCCAGGGGTGCTCTACCACTGAGATACACCCCTAACCTTTTTTTAAAATTTTCATCTTGAGAAATGGACTCACTAAGTTACTCAGGCTTTTCTGGGATTTCAGGCATATGCCTCTGTGCCTGGCAAGTAGCAAGCGTTCTCTAAACAACTGAGACTATTTTGAGGCATATACTTTTTCTCTACTGTAAATTTTCACTTTTACTGATTAATAGATTAAACAGATTTGCCCAGGTAAGGGTAAAAAGCTCTTGTTGGGTTACCTCACCCAGTTCATTTACAATCATACCTATGCAGTAAATTTGCCATAAAACTCAGAAGAACTGGGTTTAGAGAGCTTCTAGACAGCTGAACATGTGGTGATTCCTGTGCCCCTTCTCCAGTACCTCACTCTATGAATCTCTTCATTGGTAATTCTTTATGATATCCTTCACAATAAATCACTAAGAGCTTCCCTGAGTTCTGTGAGTCACTTGGGCACATTAATTGAACCTGAAGAGAGAGAGATGGGAACCCCGATTTATAGCTTGTTGGTTGGAAGTAGAGATAAACTGACCTGGGGTTTGTGATTGGCATCTGGGGGAGTGGAGACAGTAGTCTTGGGGACTGAACCCTCAACTTATGGGATTTGACATTATCTTCAGGTGTTTGGTGTCAGACTGGATTGTATTAGAGGACACCCAGCTGGTATCTACAGTAGAATTGATGGCTTTCTTGGTATATGGGGAAAACCCCATACACATCTGGTGTGAGAAGACTTCATATTAGTTGTTGTGTTTTGAGAGCAGAGGAAAAACAGGTACTTTGTTTTTTCCAGTGCCACCCCAGAGTCTTGGAGACACCCGCTGTATCCTTTCTCATGAAGGAAGGCTGCTGGTAAGACTTTCCCAGACTGTTTAAAGGGCCTTACATTAGCTGCTGGGTCTGCAATTCTCTACCAGATGACTCTGACTATGAATTGTCTGTCCCATCCCTTAACCTCATGGGAAAATCCATCAGGAACAGTGCAGGATGGTCCCAGATCTTGCACCTCCCCTAGACCCACATACAAAATCTGTTAACACTGTTAAATCTGTTAGATGTCTTTCCTACTCTCATTCTCATAATTGTCACTCAGTCATTTCCTCTGATGGACAAATGCCACCTGGCTGACAGTCCTGACAAACAGGATAGATTGGATTAACTGTCCCTAGGCAGCCCTCCTCCAAACAAAGAATAAGCTTATTTAAACTGAACTGAAATTTTAAGTTTACCAACTGGCCAAGAAGTCACATTGGAAGCACTGTCAACCTCTTCTCCAAGAATATGAAATACATTACAGAATTATAGGAAAGTTCAGGGAAATAAAGGAAAAGTTGAGCAATTGAATCTTTAAGAGAAGAGGGATTTAGATTTATAGACCAACGGATAGTCTCTGAATGTCCTTGTTAAGATGACCTTAATGTTCATGGGAACCTTTTAGTCTTATGTCACATAGCTCAAGTTCTCATGGAATGGCATCTGATTGGCCTCATTTGGGTCACATGTTTGGGACAGGAGAGAATAGGGATCTCAACTGCCAATTGAACCAAGTCTGCATTTAGTAGGGTATGTATACCCCCAAGAGAAACAGAGACATTTCCCAGCATGTAAGATTTCATTTTCTTAGTCTTCTCCATATTATGAGGGATGCTGTTGCTAGCAATTGAGATTACAACGTATATCTCCTTTACTAGCAGGGGAGGGAAAGAATCAAAGGGAATGTCTCTGAATGGCCTGGCTAGGTCACAAGCTTTGTGTGTGGATTTTGGGATGAGACCAGGATACTGGGACTGGTTCCTATTCTAGAATCATAGGATGAAATAGGAAAGGAACAGTTCCCTAAAGAATGAAGGTGTTTTTAATAAAGGTGGGAGTAAGGGTGGTACTAGCAAGAGAAAAACAACAGATGTCTTCTGTAGTCACCATTTTTACATTATCCTTTTTCCCAGTCTGGAATGTTGTGTGTCCTGGTCCCAGCATAAAGGAAATTAAGGCATTTCTAATTAAGTATCACAGCAGTCACAGCTCAGACCAGCATGGGTGAGTTTTTCAGGGCCACCAGAGCATGTTTGGTGGTAGTGGGGAGGGGGCTTGGGGGCACCCAGGGGGATGAAAAATAACCTTGGAGAAAGTCTTAGATGTTGACCATTGGATGCTCAGATCCATTCTGAGGCCCCTGGAAGGCACAGCTAGAGCCCAAGCTGAGAAGTCACTCATTAAATACTGCCAGCTTAAGTACTTAGGTACTTAAGGAGGAGTACCTTCTGTCCTGCCTGATCCTGGCCCCATCAGGCCAGTATATCATAGGAAACTGTTTTCCTCTTTTTGAGAGAAAACACGGTGGTTTGGAGCTGAAACCTGAGCTTGTTGCAAGTTTTACCTACATTGCCTTGCTTTGTTCTCTGTGAACTATTTTCCTCTGGTATTTTAGGAGAAGGGTTTGGGATCTAAAGCAGAATTAAGAGCTGGTGTGTTGGCACATGCCTGTAATCCCAGCAACTCAGAGGCTAAGGCAGGAGGATCTCAAGTTAGAGGCTAGCCTCAATGATTTAGCAAGACCCTGTCTCAAAATTAAAAAAAAAATAAAAATATCCAGGGGTATAGCTCACTGGTAAAGTGCCCCCGGGTTCAATCCCTAGTACAAAGAAAAACAGAATTAAGATAATCATGTATTCCAGCAGGTCCTAGCTAAATCCACATCTCAACACATCACCAACTTCAAATTTGTAAAACAACATTTTTCATAAAGACATTGTCATGGAGCTTCTGAGTTTTCTCAACTTGAGGTATTTCTGATAATTTTCACTCAGTTACGAAACGTTTTCTATCCTTTTGTCAGTTTGCTCGATCTATAAAGAACTTGAATGGTATTCTAAAAATACTTGATAATGCATTTATTCATTCAAATAATGAGCAAATATTCTAATATGATAACATCCTTAAAACATCACCAGAGCACAGTAGTACTTTAAGGACAGTGTATTAGTGAGATGGTCTAGATTGGGCAAAAAGAAAAACCTCCATAAAGCTGACCTAAATATCAAGGGAATCTATTAGTTCACAAAATGAAGACTTCAAAATTGTAAAGATCCAGCAGGATTAGTTGAGAAGGTAACTACCATGATCAGGGCTGTGGCTATTTTTCCGTGAAACTCCTAGTTCATCTTCTGACCTGGTCCTCAGGCTGTGGATTTTTCTGTTCACTTTCTTCTGTACTTATAGCCATTACACACTTAGCAGGACTCAGATTCCCACTCAGAGAATGGAGAGCTTCCCTTTCCCTGGCCACCAAACCAAAGGAGGTGTTAGGAGGACCGGACTCATTTAGACCACCTTCCTAGCCCAGATCCAGCCACCAAATGTGCTGTCGACTTGGTCTGGGGCGGTAGCTACTGGAGTCATGGACAGCTGCTAAGAGGTCTGGGCTTGCAGGCCATCAAATCCTGCTGTTCTCACTTTCTCCCAGTGCCCAGAGGTAGGAACACCTCCCCCAAGCTCCATGGCTGAGAAATTTCAGCCTTGCTATGGAGACTGGAAAAGGGACTACTGTTTCATCATTCATTCAGCAGATGTTCACTGAGTACAACTGTGTGCCAGACCTTCTTCAAGGCCTTGGGAAAACAGCAGAGAACAAAGTGTACAAGGTCTCTGCTCTCATGGAGGGGAAATAGAAAAATAAGCAAAAACATAAATACATCAGGTAGGCTAAGAGCTACTGGGAATAATGAGAACTGCTACCTCGAGAGGGCTGTAGGAAGACTTCCCAGTAAAGGTGCCATTTGAGAAGCGATTTGGAAGAAATAGGATAGAGAGAAGCTTGGGGCTGAGAGCAAAGAATGCAGGGTGGGGCACTAAGTAAGCACTGAGGGCCTGAGCAGGAGTGTACTTGAAGGATCTGAGAGAACTAGAGTGGGGAGAGGGGAGGGTCAGAAAGGAGAGAGGGCCCAGCCGGCAGGTCCTAGGAGGCCACAGCAAGGAGGGCAGATGGGAGTGAGGAGATCAACCACGTCTTCTGGGCGCAGGGCCTAACTGCAAGCTGTGGCCACACTGTTGGTTGTATCATCAACATCCCCCACCCGTCTTTTTCCTGGTCACAGAGTTCACCTCCCATAATACCAGATGCTACTTGAGCATGAGGAAGTGATTTGTGATCCCTAAGATGCAGCTTATGGTCAGATCAACAAAGAGAGAAACTATGGACAAGAGCATTCAGGAAGATCTCACAGATTCTAGAACAGTTGTAGATTGTGTCTGAAGAGTAGAAATTGATCTAGGACAAGGATGAGGGTTGGACGAGCCAGAGAGCTCTCAATTCCACAGATGGAATTGAGGAGTTCTGGCTAATGAGGAGCAGGTGACTGGGAGAGGGATAGAACCTGCAGCAACCGTGGTGTGGCTAGAAATGAGTTCCCTGACATGGTATCTCAAAGTGACCCCAGGGTGGGAAAGGACTTTGGGGAAGAATATCTAGAAAGCAGGAAGAGCCTTCACAGACTAGATTCATTGGTAGCTCTGGTCTTTGCATTTGTAATTCTTTCTGCCTGGGATGCTATTTGCCTGGAAAACTCTTATTCATCCTTTTAAACCCAGATGAGTCATAAGTTTCTCTATGACACCTTCTCCAATTTAGTTCCCATTGTAGGCTCCCACAGCTCTTCACTGATACCCCATTCTGTCACTTGCTAAACACAATGCTTGTCATTTCTTTGGTCTTCTCTTCCCAGACTATAGGTGGATTTCTTGGGGGCAAACTCAATGCTTTTTGTATCTTGGGTACATAATACTATGCCTGAAATATAATAAGTGATTATTAAATGAATGATGAATGAAATATGATAAGGGGAAAAGGGCAGAAGGTGACAGTGGGCAAAGGGATGACGTTTTGAAATATTTAAATTAAGATTGAGACATTCTAGTTAATGGTGGAAGAGATGAGGTTATCCTTGGAAACTTTTAGAAGATGCTATATCTGGAAGGAGGAGATATAAATCACATATGAGGAGGAATTATAATTGTTAACTGAGAAAAGCTATAGAAGAAGAATGCAGAGAAAAGTAGGTGGAATGTTAGATTAAGTTGAAAACCTGAGCCTACTGAGAACCTCAAGTTCAGGGAGTCTTTCTGATTTTCTGGAAACCTAGCAGTCACATTTTATGATATGATCATACAATACAATTACAATGACCTTACACACTCAAGATTGATTCTTTTCATAGACGTCAACGTAAGGGTGGGTGCTGTGTTCTTAGGCTGCATGATGCATGAACATAAGAGTTTTGTGGCATTTTTTCTGGAGGCTGATCTTATAGCTGAGTCAATGGCAAATGGCCAAATTTCTAATTATTTTTCCCCTATTTTAGGAAAATTAAAGTTATATGGGCTATCATGCTGCTTTAATTTTCACTGTATCTCAACCATTTCAGAGTGTACCCTTTCTCATTGGTTTGCAACCCAAACTTCTCCACTGCTCTCCTACACCCCACCCCACCAGCCATTTGACTATGTCTGGAGTTTTTGATGGTCCCAACTGGAGGAATGCTGCTGATATCTACTGGGTAGAGACCAGGAACGCTACTAAACATCCTGAGATGCACAGGACCTTCAAAGCGGCAAAGAATTATCAAGCCCAATATGTCAATAGTGCCAAAGTTGAGAAATCCTGCAATGTTTAATCCTTAATTAGCAGCACAGGATGGCAATTATTTGGCTGGGTTGCTTCAAGATCCTGTGGAAGAGATGGGGTTATCCTTGGAAACAATAGTTCCTCCCAATTCTGAAATGTGCCACAAGAGGGAGCCAGAAGATTCCTTTAGAAATCTCAAGGGGCTGAAGGGCTTGTTCCTTGCATTGTACCAAAATAGTCACAAGATGGTGCCAAGAGATTCCTTTTGGAAACCTAAGCATGTTGTTCTTGTTTTGGTCATTTAAATTATGCTAAAATAATACTTCAGTTAATATATTTAATTGGAATAATACAATTCAAGTGCAAATGTTTCAATTTAAACATAGATTAATTTTTTTTCTCGGTTCTAATTCTCACATGAAGGATCTTGGAGAGAAAATTTCTATTAATCTAAAAATTAAATGAGAATATATATATATATATTTCTTTTTTTTTTTAATCAGTTGGCTGGTGGTGAGTTGGTAGTCCTGTTCTATAGAAAGGATGAGGTTCTTGGGATGTGCTGCAAAGAGTCCCTGTGTTGAGGGATTACTGTGAAGAGAGCTGCCTCATTACAAGTTTATACCTGAGCAGATGAGAGACACTGCTAGAAGCAGGGTTTCTCTGGAGTCCTGGGCTTTGTTCAAAGAAGAACTCAAAAATGTGATTTTAGATGACAAAATTAAGTAACAATTAAGTAATTTGGCAGGGTGTGGCTTGGGAAGCTGAAGTAGAAGGAACCTGAGTTCAAAGCCAGCCTCAGCAACTTAGAGGCCCTGAGCAACTCAGTGAGACCTTATATTTAAATAAAATATAAAAAAGGGTTGGGAATGTGGTTCATTGGTTAAGTGCCCCTGGGTTCAATCCTGGGTACCAAAAAAAAAAAAAATCAAGTAACTTATAGGGCTGTTCATTCACAAAACCTCTCTTTTCCAGTTTGTCTCTCATCCTGGGGCTAATCCTTAGGGACTGAGGGCAGAGCCTAAGGAGGCTGCACCTCACTGCACCTTCCCACTAGCCAACCTGCCCCCAACAGGTGCAAAAGAGCCAGGCTGAGAAATACATGTTATAGTGTATAACTATAACTGTTAACAGCCACAGAGAAAAGAAACCTGGGGTCTTTCAGACATCCTAATAGGCCCATTTGAACAGTGATAATTCCCTTGTAATTATTGTTTCTATTTATTGCACTTTCTCATGCTTGTCTTTACATACAAGATAGGTTTAAGAACAAAATTAAAGTAAGAAATAGCCCTAAAGCTTGGACCAAAGAATCCCAACTTTGTCACGTCCGAATTTCTGAGAAACTTGACAGAGAAGAGGGAGGGAGGAGAAAAGAAGGCAGGCAGGCAGGAGTGGGAGGAATCAGGAGGGAGCC